TTTAGGTTTTGTAATTTCCTGAACCACGTGATCTACAAAGGACAGCCATGACCCAGAGCATTCGGATGAAAAGACTAATTGTGTATTTACAACTATTCGGGTGAACACTGTTCAATTTGACTTAGACTCGCCTGTCCTCCAATGCCACAGTGGGTGCTATTTGCAAAACGAACCGGCTCATTAATGAATCTCATCATCAGTCCGCCCCAGGAGGGGGCCGTGTACAGAATCGACGACCTGTTGCAGTGTCAGCAGCCCCCCGAGTGCAGGGACGGCGGCGGTCTCAGTGAGCCCGGATTTCGGAGCACGGCAGCCACCGAAACACGAACACCAGGTCTCATCCTTGACTCCCGATGGCCGACAAGAGGACAGAGATCGAGGGCCCGTGACACGTTTTAACTTTGTTTTGAAGCGATCCTCAAATGGGCTCAATGTTGTTCTACACATACCTCAGTATTATCTGTTCATTGGATTTTATATCACATGAAAACATCCATCACTGAAATCCACTTAAGAATTTCTCTCGGCTTCTCAGCTCATCTGCAGTGGTTTGTGTGCTCAAATGAAGCATGAGACTGAATTGTCAAATGTATTTTTAGTCTCTTCCTCACATTATAATCTGTCTAGACAGCGCATTGAAACTTCTCAATTGTGAAGGTCCTATTTAAATCAAACCTCACTTTTCATTAATGGAGATTTCAGGCCACTGGCAAAGGGACATAGGTATTTAATGGCATCCCAATTATTCAGATGAAACGTTTGCGTGTTTTTTGGTCTTACGTGAATTGAAAAGCATTTTAAAGCGTTTTTGCACCTGCTGCTCACACCCTTCCATCTCCAACATGAGTGCTCTTCACACCACGTAGGTTTTCATTAGAAAAGGGTGAAGGTGAGTCATATATGCTGTCAAATGTGGCAGATCCGCTGAGGTCACAGGAAGATTTGATTCAAGTGAAGAACGGAGACAATACCTGAACAACTGACATCTACCAAGGAAACAAACGAACCCTGATCAAACGGGAGTCGGCTAGAGGACTTTTTTTGTTTTAGAATATCATGTCACTTGGGAAACTCAAGACGTGCCAATGTTCAAGGACAGTCACCAGACCCTGCGAGTATCACATTAATCCCCTTGGGGTCTATGACATCGTCAGGAGACATGGCCATGCACTGAGGAGCCCCCAGCCACGAGGCCTACTTTGCCACCCCTGACAATACCTCATCCTTATTTAAAAACAAAAACAAAGTCAACAAAAAGCAAAAAAACAGCACTCCTCCACTGCCCATGTTACTAGAGTTTGGATGAGATGGTGTTTATCCCATTTGGATTCTGGCTTTAGTTTTTTCCCTAATGTTTAGGTTAAGTTTTGGCAATTAAAATTGAAAGGAAAAATTGAATATGTGAATAAATGCTTTAAAACCGGGTGAACCAGATACTTAAAAAAAAAATTATTACAGGCCAAAATAGGATTAAAATATCCAAAATATCTTTTGTTGATTAAATTAGGATTCTGATGTCCGCACACACTGAACACATGTTTTGGTTTGTTTTCTTTTTAATACAATGCAATGCTGTTTACCTGTTGATGCTTTTCCCCCCAGACATGACTTTTAAAAACAATTATTAGGTAAGATGACAGATGCAAATGTGAACATGTGCATTTTTTCCTTCTTTGTTCTTGTTTTTGATTGAAATAAGATATTTCATAGAATGGCATGTTATAAAAAATCCAAACACAAAAAACACACATGGATACATAAAATGACAGGTAATTTCCTTTTGCCTGAAGTGGCTTAAAAAAATTGAGATCATTGAAATTTCATTGTTGAAAAAAATGTTTCTGAATGTATAAATAAAGCAGTAGTTTTGAATAGAAACAGGAAGTTACCTAGGCACATTCATCAGCCACATGGTAGCTACCTCTTAGCCTCATTTTTGATTGTGTAAATGAGACTTTCTTTGTATTACATTAATTTTTTTTTTTTTACAGAAACAAAAGAAAGCATGTTGGTTTCATATTCAAATGAATTATGCCCAGGATAATCCTTATTTATACAAAGAGTTTAGAGAGTGAAAAAAAGAAACAGAAAATACAGTTTCCATACATGCTTGCTGATACCCCCTGAAACTTGGGGTCCACTTCTCAAAGATAAAACTTAAGCACCACCCTTAAAATACATGAGAGGCTGAAGGATGGAACAGAAGAAAGTAGAAACCTAGGATTCTCTCGAAAGCATGGAAAACCATAAGGATGGGTGCAACCCGTTCGAATTTCTCTGTAGCATGTTACATTTTCTTGGCTCTATTTTCACCTCAAATTTGACCACAAGGATATGGAGTCACTCTCTAGATTTGAATTTCCAAGACATGGTGTTGCAAATGAGAGAACCAGGTCAATGTCAACGCGAGGCTTCTGTTTGTAGGTTATAAAGAGTGAACAATTGACATGTTCATAGGAGTCAAACTCATTACTCATGTTGACCTCATGGGAATATGATTTATCTTTTAATTTTTGTTAAGTTTTAAAAGCCTACTCTGCTTTGACAGTGCACTTAACGCATGCCCCTCTTCTTCCTAGACTAAGACAGGTTCCTATGACTCAGTTTGTGGAAAGAGGGTCACTTATTCGATTCTAATAATCCATTCAGAAAGCAATTCCAGGGCGTAGTTCAATGGACAGAGTTCCCCTGTCCTTAGTTTCCGGTGAAACTGTGCAGGTGGGGGGTATGGATTTCATGAACCGAAGATGCAGAGACATTTGTTACATCCACTTAATTCATTTTAGAGAAAGGTCTGCATCATTCTCAATGCAAATATATCTCCTTTGGCTTTAATGATGGATCAAACCCAATTGTTTTGGTTCTTATTAATATAAATAATTTCATATAATTTCTTGATTGTCCACTAGCATTTTAAAATCTTACCTAAATTCCACTAGTAGAACCCTCAACCGTATTGGTCCTACTTGCCTCAGAGAGTTAAACTGAAATAAAAAGGTCTATTTTGTCTTTCTTCTGACAACACCAGGATATGGAAAAAAAAAAAGGGCAAAAAGAAGCTATCCCTTCCCACTGCAGAATCAAGGTGACCATTCATGGTGGATGATGACAAAAACTAAGGTGCAAAGACAGAATCAGGAGGTGCTGGAATTGGCTGAAGGAAGACTATTGTTACAAATACAATGAGACCTTTTCAGGAGACCTCTCACCACTTAACAGAATATCACTAAGCCTTTTTTTTTTTTTTTTACAAGTGACCCTTCAGACCAGGTTCAGGAAGTGTCTTTCATTCAAGATTCACAAAAAGAAATGTCAACCTGTTAAAAAAGTGTTTTAGCTTATTGGTGGCCATCAATACAGGTTCCACTATTCACGAGAGCTGGCGAGGAACAGGAGAAGCTCGTGGAATTCAGGGCCACGGGGCTCTCTCCCTTGGCATCCATGATCACAGCAGGGGCAAGCTTCTACTGACAACAAATGTACAAAAAAAAAATTTTTTTTTTTGGCAGTATGTAAAATACCAGTGGAAGGTAGTTTAAACAAACAACAAAGTAAGAACTGGTCCGGCCATGTCGGTCAAATAAAAATTTTAAAAGAAAAGTAAAGAAAAACAACCTCTATCTTCTGGACTGCAATAGGGTACCACTTCATCTTTGGTATAAAATAGGCCATCCATAGGCTGAATTTGATCACAACTAGGAAAGACTACAGAAATTGTCAACAATTTCTCTATCTATTGCTTTTTTTGTTGTTTTTTTGTTTGTTTGTTTGTTTTGTTTTTGCACTTTTGACCATAAGCTCCTATCTACTTAAGTTTTTTGTGTTTTTTTTTTAATGCTCATAAGCTAGGTTTTGCAATGTGACAAGCAAAGCTGACTAAAAACTTTGTAAAGCTCATAAAAAAGACTGCAGATAAAAAGCACTAATGCTTTCGCTAGCAATCACGCTTTGTAAATTAAAAAAATCTGCATTCTGCCCCCCCAAACACGCATTATTTCTAATGCAGTTGTTTTTAAACCAATCTTAATAACTTTACCATAAAATGTTTTAGCCTTCTAGAATGGTTCAACACTTAAGACAAAGTTCATGAAAAGTCCCAGCATTTTTCCAATTCTTGCCGTTGCCATGGTTTCTTTTATCAACTAATTTTCTTCAAATGAAGAAAAACATTTTCTTTTAAACTGTACAGTTTTTTTTTCACCCTAAAAACTCAGAGTCTTAAGCTTCTCGTACCAGTGAAAACTGGCACAATATTTCAATTCTTTCTTGATTTTTTTAACAAGACGTTGACAGCTTGCCTCGAGAGCCTTTGACGTCCTTAAAATTAAGGCAATTAAGATTCAAGATAAACCTTACCTAAATATTTCTAAGAAAAAAAATTAAAAAAACAACCCACATTTAAACAAGAAGAAAAAAAAAAAAAGAAAGAATAGCTTAATTACTGAGGAAGACAATTTGTTTCCATTTCTGCTTGTCCACCTCTTGACATCAGATTTTCTGTTAAAAAAAAAAAATCTATCTACACCTTCAGGTAAATTCTGACTTCAAATGTTCTTCCAGATAAAATGTGAACCTTCCATGTTTTTGTTTTGCTGTTTTTCCTCTTCTGGGATTTTTTTTTTCTTTTACTTTAATTTAAAAAATGATGGCAAAAAATAAAGTCAGACCACGTGAAGGACCCATTTGCACAGCACACAAAATGCTTTGTTTTTCGTTGGGTAAAGTACAAAATTAAAAATTAAAAAAAAGAAAGAAAGAAAGAAAGCATTCCATTGACACCTGTGCAACCTGGGAGCCAACTTCTTGTTCAATGAAGTCTCTTCATTCAAGGCAAAGTTTCGAACAGACATTCTTCAGTCTTGCTTATGGTCTGTGGAAACAATGGAATGAGACTGGTTATTACATCAAAGCAACTTTGAAACCTTCTGTGCTCTTTCCCAGGGAGGCCTCTTAAAAGCTACCAAGCTCTTTAAAAAGAGCAGTCATCAAACGTTGTGAAAGCATATTGGGCCGATTAAACTCTGCCACTTTCACACAAACATATATGTGAGCCAGAAAGTATGTTCACATTAACGATCAAGGCTTATAGGTCAAGAATACCTTTCCATTCTGAAGGAATAAATAGTACAAATACACCCCGATAAAAAATACTCCCTTTGTGAATGGAACCTGCTTTTCTGTGGCCTTGCTGATGCTGTAACTTTCCTAGAAATTCTTTGAGTGATTCTATCCCTTCATAACTCCCCTGGGATCCACCGTTCGCTCAGTCAACAAATGTGTGAGTCCCTGGTACACACCAAGATGCAGCAATGGGCTGTATGTCACCTACAGTGTTCACCAAGTGTGTTCGCATTAGCTTTACTGTCCTAGGTAATTAAGTACGGCCATTACAGGGCAATGGGGTTGGGGCGCTCTTCCTCTTATTCTTCTCTTCTTCCTTGCTCATTCACCTCATCAAGACTGTATTTTATACCTTCCAGAAGTCTGGCAGAGTGGTAGGCACGCAATAGGTGTTTAACTAGACAAATGCCGCTCTTACTATATGCACTTCGCCTAGCCCAGCCCAAACAATGTCTTCTGCTGCCGTCCCATCTGTGTTGAAGGGTTGAGCTTCTAGTGGGTTGACTCGACGCTTAGCTTTTCCACCCACAGATTAGAATTTTGCTAAATCATATCAGGGGTGGTCTATAAAAAGAAGAATCTTTGAACATCTAGAGGTCCTATGTATGTAGGTGAAGGGCTCTTCCCTTAGTGCTTTGCAGATTCTTCTGATGCCTAGTTGCTTAATTTAGTAGAACCTCAGGGCTGCTGGGTATGGTCGTACAGGGGGTGCACTGTACAAGAGGCATGGCTGAGGGCTGCAGTAGGACTAAGTTCCAGCCTGTTCCTAGTCTGTTCCCCAAACTATGAACTCTGGTGCAGGGCTGCATTCAACCTGAGAAGCAGGCCTTTTTCAAACTGACAAAAAGCCCTCAGCGGCATTTTAAACTATATGCGAGTTAGCCTGGGGTGACCCAGAGGGGTTTCTTTTGCTACTTTGCAAAAAAAAAAACCTTCATATGAGACTGCTATGACTCTTAGAATCCAGATTCACTTGTACCTAGAATCATGTAAGAAAAATGACTAGTTGGTAAATTGAATGTATCTATTTTTAACCAATAGTGTAAGTCTCTAGAAATACATTTTTTTTCCTGGTTTACACAAGAAAGTGAGAACTGCGATTTAAATTTTCATAACAGCAGTAACAATAAAGGGCATTTTATTAGTAGTAGTCATGGGAATCAAGTATATGTTTACTCTCTCTCTCTGCACCTTTGCAAAGTGTAGACGTACTCCATTTAGCTCTAAAAATCTATCTTGTGTACTTTTGCATTTTTGTTTATTTCTTTGATTATTCTTTGCTCCTTCCCCCATGTTCGACTCTGGCATTATTGTACATTGAGCAGAAAATGCCTCAAGTACCACGAAGGTCAATAAGAGCTGCCCAATGAACAGTCTCAATGGACTACACAGACATAGAATGTCCACACTGCTCAGGTGTATGGTCTTGAAGCATCCATACTTATGAGCTAGGCTGGAGCTATTGTCAAATTTCATAACCTTACACAAATGCTTCTACTAGCCCTTTTCCACCACTTGTTTGATCCTTCAGGTAGTCCTACTGCCACATGAAAACAAATGAGGAGGAGTAACTGATTGTACTTTACACTGTCATGGTTGCTAGCTGAAGTTTGAAGGGAAGAAGCGTTGCTGTTTATTAGAACTGAATTCACTCCTGTCTACCTTCTCGGTGTGAAAGTGCACATTTAAATAATAATTATGGATTGCACTGATATCCATGAAACAGAAGCTTTCTAAAATGTCAAGCCTGCGATCTTTACAAACAAGTTAGACAGTGAAATTATTTTAGAAATAATTATGGTTGCAGCTTAAGAAGTATTCGTGGGAAGGAGATAATGAGTATGAAAATTATTGGCACACTGTAAAGTACTGTGCAAACCGAATGAATTATTACTCACAAGCTTAAAGGACATGCACACGTGGTAATCAAGGATATGATTTGCACATCATTAATATACTTACAATGTATAGGGAATTGGTGTTCATGACAGTTCAGTCAGCCAGAGCAGACTTGAGAATAAAAAGACCTTGCAGTGTGGGGTTGAGATAAGGGCCTTCTAAGGTCATTTAGATGTTGGAAGACCAAGAGTTAGAGTCTAAGATCAGAGTCATTTTGAGCCTTCTCATCCTCCAATATCCCCCCCCCCCCATACACACACACACACACACGCACACACACACACACACGTGTGCGCGCGCACAGAAAAGCAGATTCTGTGGTCCAGAGTTTAGGAAAAATTGCACACTAGTCTCTCACTCCTGGATTACGCATAGGCAAACCAAGCATGTGATTAGGGCACCAAGAAGGGTATCCAATCCCAAAAAAACAAAACACTGTTTTTGAAAGAATGTAATCTTTTAAATTAGTATCAAAGTCAACATCGTGTAAACAATGCCAAATTTTGTTTGACCTCTTTAATAATGTAATATGTTAAAACAAATAAAACTCTTAGAATTCCAAACAAGGAGGGCAGGACACACTAATCTTTCAGAAGTAAAACATCTGAAATTTTTGTCTGGCCCCTAGGAGGTCACTGCCGTTAGCGTGCTAATAGCTTTGACCGGAACGGCAATCAAAGAAGATTTCCACCTCCTTCAAGCAGTTTCCAGCACGGCTTCTGCAGCCTCCCCAGCCCAATCCGGGAGCCAGGGCGCCGCGGTTAACCCTCCTTGGTGCCAGAGGTCTACTGAATCTCTCCCTCTAAAGAAGAGGAAAAGGAGACTCCAGAGGGTTGGGTGACAACTAGTCAGTGGCAAGAATGGCATCTGAATCAAGGCTTTTACGTTTGCATAGTAGAATCTACGCCCCTTGAAGACTCCTGGGTTTCAACTCGTACATATTTTTAAGGTCTGCTACATAGCACAAGCAAAAACCGATAACTCAGGCAGGCCCCGGAATTCCCATGGAACTACTAAAATAAACCACAGGCTATCTTTTTTTTTTTGTCTTTCGGGGTAGGAGTCCAGAGTCCCTTTCTGCAGTAATAGTCTCTTAACAATGGAAGAAAAGAAAAAGCATGAACACAAAACGTTTTTTTTTGTTGTTGTTTTTTTCAGCTTGGAAAGTAGAATTTGGAACATTACAATATTTACTGACCTAGGTCCCCAAAACTTATCCTGCAATCTTCCCCTGTGATGTTTCTAATTTACTTTAAAAGAACGTTAGTATAGACATTATGATGTTAAATATATGTGTGATGGGTTAAACTCCTTTTCAGGGGCACGCGGCTAGCTACCCTAATCAGAATTTCACACCCCACAGGAGGTCAGCCATCATTTAATGAGGAAGGCCAGAGGTTTGTACAAGCACTTTAAACTGTCCATATCTCAATTAACATAATGATTGTTAGAAATGGGTTGCCTGATGAAAGAGAGGGCATGGCAATTAGCATAATGATGATGGAAATAAGCGGCCATTTGTGAAATCTGGAGTACTCAAGGTAATACGGGTTGTGGAAAATATTTTAGAAATACTCAGCACTCCGCATGAACAGGAAAGATAGTTTTGTAGAGAAATGTGTAGCCTGTAACTTCAGGGATTTTGCTTGTGACTTGGCCTCAAAACAAGACTGTCTGAGTCGATTTCTTGTGGCCTTTACAAGGACAATGTAGCTCTGCCTCTAAAAAATGATAGAACCTGACCTGAGTGAATTTTCCCATGGTGAGTGTTTTTTGATTATTTGAAAGAATAGAGCTGGGGCTGTATCAGGTGTGTACAGAGCAAGTGGTACAAACTGTTGTGTGCCTCCTTTTTGATGAATGCTTCTTTAATAAGTGCCTGCGTGGGTTCTCTTGCATCCCCGAGTGTTTCCTAGCGATGGTTATATAATAAAAAAGAACCCAGGTGTTGGTATGACCCAGATGCTTAGCTCAATTCCCAGTGTCTTCCTTGAATGGTTCTGAAGAATCTCATGTCTTAAGAACACACAGATCAGCTTCCCTTAGCTGAAACTGATTAAAAGCTTAAGACAGACTCACATTCATTTCTCCCTTTTATAAAATTTCAGAAGTGGCTGTCATCCACCTATTTATTTGACTTAGGATACTGTCTTTGTTTTATTCAATATTTTATTGTTTTGCTGTTTAAAGTCGAACGCTCCTAACACTTTGTAGCACTGTTGGAAAGAGGAAGTTGAAAAGGTAAACAGGACGTGCTAACATTTTTCTCCAGGTTTAAAGAAATGTCTGGCCCTGGTCAGTTTTGCTCAGTGGTTAGAGCATCGGCCTGCAGTCCAGAGAGACCCGGGTTCGGTTCCCGCTAGGGGCACGTACCTCGGTTGCAGTTTGTCCCCAGCCCTGGTTGGGTTGTGTGGGTGGCAGCCACTCGATGTGTCCCTTTCACATCGATGTTTCTCTCTCTCTCTCTCCAAAAAAAAAAAAAAAAAGTCTGCAAGGCAATTCGGTGCCTTTCACACGCCCCACATTTGAAATGTCCCATGTTTCAGGGCGCTTCTCTCGGTCACGTCGCAGCAGCGAGCCCATCCTGTGGAACGTCCTGTAACATATGGTCCTGCATGCAGCAAAAGCAGAGGTGACGTCGTTTTACCTCCAAAAAATGGTAGAAACTAACGTGAGTGACTGTTTCATTGGTGAGTGTTGTACTATGCTTTTACTCCGATGAGGACATGGGATGGGGGACTTCTAGCCTTGCTATTCATTTTCTGTGGAGAGCTCCGCATATTCAACCATGAGAATCCATGGCTCAAGGCACATAACCACAGTGCCTCCAGTGTTAAACGTGAACACAACGTTTTTATGAGGTCAGATTCAGACTTCCTCACGTATTTCAAGGAATAAAGCTTCTTTGAATGAACTCATTATAAGGATCATTCAATTCCAAGTCTTTCTCCACAAGTCACGCCTCCCTACGCCCCGATTGGATCTCATCTGCCTCTGTGGTTTAAAAAAGAGCCCTGTTCATTTTTCCCCCCTTGCAGTCTATTTATCTTGTCCATGTGTAGATCTAAATCCTGTACTAGACTGTAAATTCTTGAGGTCACGGATCCTCTCTTTGCGTAGTACCTCACTTGTATAAGGTGCTACAGGTGAACAGGGCCTAGATGCGGGGTGGATTGGAGGACTCCCCAGAACCCACGAGAGGCAGAGATGCCCTCTCTGGGTCAGGCAGAGTTCTCATCTCTCCATTGGATCATGCAATGACCATGGCAAGGGGGGAGGACGCGGGGAAAGAGCATCTCATCATCTCATCGTGGGCTGACAGTAGGGGAGCTGAAGCTGATTCAGTCAGGCAGGGAGAGGAGGAGGTTCTGGACAATTGCAAGAGAGGAAAATCTGCATCCTGAAAGCCTCCATCGAAATACATCCCTCTCAGCCAAATAGAGGATACACCTGGGAGTCTGTACCCACTTGGTAATTGAGTTGTTGAAACAGTTATAAAATCCTGTCATTTCTTCTCTTAAATCCCTGCAAAGGTTTTCTAGCTCAGTTAGCATTAAACTAAGAATAACTACTCAACACAAAGTCAAGTATCTAAGGACCAAAGGCTCTATCCAAGCTAACCTACTTGACTTCATCTCCTACAACTCTGCCCTCTGTGGCCCTGTCCACCACACTTCAACCTCAGGTCCCCGTTATGGATCTTTGAATTTCTGTTTGCTCTGTCAAGAAGGTTTTTTTCTCCAAAGCTCTCCAAGATTAGCCTCTAATTATCTTTCAGACCAGGCCTATATGACAGTCCTCCCCTGATACAAATCTTTGGTATCTACACAGTCACTTTCTATCACAAGCATCTTTTTAAGCAGTTTGCTTGGAAATTCGGTTTCTTTTTGTTTATCTACTGATTGATCCATTGATTGAGTCTACTCCTAGTAGAAAATAAACTCCAAGAGTGGAGGAGGATAAATGTGATGAAAGCTTATTTATCATTTACCCAGACATCATTAAACTATTAGCAAGAAGGATCTAGGATCACTGGTTTCCTCGTTACACTTTCCAACAGCCAAGCCAGTTTCACCTACTCACCAAGCCTTGAAAAATGATTTTGGCAGATATAGTCTCTCTCTTCTCCCACCAGCATCCCTCACTGTGCTTCCACATCACCAATCTCTTCTCCTTTCTCCATTCAATCTGCTGAGCAGACTACAAAAATGCCAATGCGTTTGGAACCTAGTGCCACAGTCTACCATATTGTTTGATGTGTGTCGAAGTGATTCACGCAGGCTACAGATGAATTCTTAAAAAGGCTTGATATACTCTGGATCTTCTCTGAAAGCTGTTATGTGATAGTAATAATCATGATGATGATGATAATAATAATACCTTATATTTGTAAGGTTAAGTCATGTTCTGAGTACATTTAATCCAAAGGACTGACTTTAGAAGCTAAACCACATATAGAAGACTCCATTACCATGATTAATCTTTCAACAACAAACCAGTCTCTAAATGTGAATTGAAGGTAATGAGAAATGATGATCAAGAAATGGCTCAACACTATGCAGACAGAGCAGATCACTTGGAACTCTCTATTAACTGGGGCTTTGATTGTTACCTATGAGGTAGAATAGTTTGCATGGCAAGACATCTGTATATGAACTAAACTTCTGTTCATTTCTTTGGTCTCACTCAATACTTCTCAAATTTAATCTACATAATTACTCAACACAACGCCAACTGCACTTTTCTTAAGTGATTTAAGGATTTTCAAGAGTAATTACGACTATGTGATTTTTGCTTTGCCATTTATTCCTGAATAACACTCTACTCTCTATTGTTCTGTATTTCATAGTACCATTTTTCATTAATGATTTCACTGGGTGTTCAAAGCAACTCTGCAAAAAGAGTGTTACTGTTTTCATTTAAGAATGAGAAATGGAGACCAAAATGCAGGCTGACTATTTAGTTTCATGTGGAAATATTAGAATATTAGAGTTTTTCCATGGGTTCATATGGTAGGTTTTTAAAAATTCTTTGTTTTGTTTGTTTGTTTGTGTTTTTTGTGGTAAAAATGGCCGCGATGCTCCTTTCTGCATCTAAGCCTTTTCGTAATGGACCCTGGGCGTGGCATTTGGCCAAAAGGGTAGCAGCAAATGAGTCATAAACAGAATTGAAAAATGTTGGTCACTTGGACTTCCTCTCTTGTTCTTCAAGTTCTGAGACTTCCATGTGAACAAGGCTGCTGAAGGATCAAAACATGTGTCTCAGTCACTTCCATCACTCAACCAACAGCCAACCAACAGCCAACCAACACCGAGAAGCACAGCTGCAAAAGGGACTGGCAGCTGTTCCAGATGTTTGAGCAAGTCCAGTCAACTATCCACCTGAGGCCAACCCGCGTCATCATGAACTAAATGAATGCTTTTCACTAAGCTTGAGATGGTCTGTATTGCAGCAAAAGCTAACAGGTGCAACATGAGAGACTGAAGTCAAGATGGCTGATCCTGAAGGAAAGAACTCGGTATAGCCCGGACTTACTTAGACTGTTGGTAAGAATATGCAGATGCATGTTCATTGGATGTGTCCACTGCTATCTGTTGCTGCTGACCACTGGTGTCCTGGGATGAAGGTGCCACTGTCTGGGGAGAGGTATCAGCAACAACACCCTAAGGAAGCAAATATGAACACAAAGCTTTATTGGCTTCAGCAAAGAGCCCTCTTCAGGTGGACTGTAGAGAACACCCCTCTTCTGTTGGGCTTGAGAAAAATTGCACTCAGCTACATGAAGCCACAATAAGCACTCAAAGGAAAACCACAGAGCATATTTGGATAAGGGCTGAGAAATTCTCCTCAATGTGCAACAAGAAGTCCCGCCATCAGAAGTCCTTGGAGCAGTCAACTCGTCAGAAATCATTTTGCCCATACTTAGAACTTTTAAATCATAGTTGCATACAACCACACTAAATGGTCATTTATTCATGAAAAATTCATGTGGGATTTCTACAAAAAGTGTATATTCCAGCATTTTCTTGGGCTACTGCACGGTACCATGTCTATATGATCTGGCAAAGCAATGAACTCTGACCTTAATAAAAATCTACACCAAAGTATGGAATTCTTTCTAAAGAATACTGTTAAGGAGGTTTCCCTTCAGCAATTTGATGTGTTTTATTTTGTTTTGTTTTCCACAATATGACCTGGAATTCATTTAGAGGTTTCAAGAAAAGAGTCAAACAAACATCCTTAATTTTGATTTGTTCTTTCTCTTCCTCTTTCATTCTCTTGATCCTCGCAGATGCTAACAAGAATGAATTTCTAAAGTTGGTCATCTTTAGGGATGCATATTGGTTCCCAGAGACTCACAGTTGGTTTTATTTGGTAATTACTAGGCCTAAAAAAGGCATCTGTCTGAATATACTCTCCTGGTTTTACTTACAGCCTTGGACACCTGCTGTGATACTGGGTTTCAAAAGTTCTTAGTCAGCGCTCTGTCACAAAAGATCCATGAGTCCCTTAGAATCTGAAAATTTTATATTAATTCAATCTTTTTCTCCCTAACACTGTTTGGTGTTGTGCATTTTTTTTCCTGAACCTTCCACCAGTATTTACTTGTATGGATATTGGTGAATTTTCAGTAAGCATTTTTACATAGAATATGAATCAGTGTTTTTCCTTATAAACATAAATTAAAGGCAATATTTCAGAGTGTATTTTTATTTATCTTAATGAAAGACTTCTTTTTAAATCCCACACTTAACTATAATCAGACTGGTTTCAATAAGCCATACTGTCAAATGTGTCTCATTATTTTATAGCCATTGAAATACTCCAATTCTGTAGATGAGTGTACACCTTTGGTGTCCAGATAGACTGATGCAAATATGTGGCAGAGATTTGTGTTTAAATGTCCAGGTTGATAAATTTCTAATGTCCTAGGTGCTTTTTGATAGCCAAATATACCAAAGAAAATATGTTTTAATCAAATAGTATTAAAACTCTGAAAATCCTATTAAAATCTGCTTAATACTCACTGACACATTCTTTGGTGCCTACAGGTGTGGAACACATACAAGATTTAAAAACTGGATGTCTGTGAGTTCCTAAATTACGTGATAGTGTCCTCTTAAACATCTGTGTTTCCCAAACCTGGGTAGCAGCAGACATCTGTCACACATCAAATGGGTGAATGGATTAAAGAAGACGTGGTGTACATATGTAAACAATGAAATATACTCAGCCATAAAAAACAAAATCTTGTCATTTGTGACGACATGGATAGATCAGGAGGGTGCTATACTAAGTGAAGTAAGTCAGACAAAAAGGGACAAAACTATATGATTTCACTTATATGTGGAATATAAAACAAAAGAGATAAACAAACAAAACAAAAACAAACTCGTAGATACAGACAAGAGATTGATGGTTACCTGAGGGAGGGGGAATGGGAGAAAGACAAATGGGTCAAATACATGGTGACAGATGGAAACGAGACTTTTGGTGGTGAGCACCATGTAGTATATACAGATGTTGAATTATAATGTTGCACACCTGAAACTTATATGTTATAAAACAATGTTACCCCAATTTAAAAAAACACAAATTCTGATTCAGTCGTCTGGGTGGTGTCTGAGAGTTTACAGTTTTAAACAAGCTCCCCATAATATAGCAAAGAAAATATGTTTTAATCATGTTGTCTTAAAACATATTTTCTTTATTTTATGCACAAAGGAAAATTTAGGCGTCGCCAAGTAAAGACACATATTTTCATACACTGAGCTTGGAATTTCACATTTCAGAGCAGCACAAACATCACACATAAAATTCCTTGGGTTATAGGGACCACAGTACATGTGGTTGAGATGAAGCTCAGACCCTCTTTCTTTAGGACAGAGACAAACTTACTTCGATAGAAACAGCTGTCGGAGGCACAGGCGTGTACTGGGGAATGTAGGTCCCTTGCATAGGAGCGGCAGCAGTCATATACTAGAGAGAATCAAAGAAAAATGAAGGTGAACTTGGGATTGCAACCAACAAGAAGAAGGTATCACAAGAGCTGTGTGGCCTGTGGCCGGTGCATGGTTAAAGTTAAACTGTATTCTGACCAAAATCAAGGCAGTTCCTATGAGCACAGAATGACCTCTTCTCCCTAAGGGCAGCCACCTCCTCAATATCAGTACGAGTTCATTCATCCCCATTCGCTCACTTTGTCTTTGTAAACAGCCTATGTCAGATCTCAAATATTTCCCTTTCTTAAATAAAACAGATTCCATGAGGGCAGGGATGATGTCCCTTTTTTTCCTTTCTTTCTCCATTTTACTACTAGCATCTATCATATAGTAGGCTCTCAACAAATTATTTGTTGAATGAATGAATCATATTGTTAGTAATAATTTGTTATTAAATAAAAACAGGAGGAATAAGGCAAGAAATACTTATGTAGCAACATTCAGAATTGGCAAATATCATCATTGTGTAATTTTCACATCACTATTTCAAACAAATAAAAAATAGTGTTGCAGATAATATTAAAGCCTCCTTTGCCCTCCTCCCCCCCCCCCCACTCCCCACCCTTTCTCATGTCAGGATTTCCTCTGCAACTTGAATTCTCCAAATTTTCTTCATCTGAATAAACAATGAAACATTCCAATCATTTTCTTTTTCGCTAAGTTGTAGCATTCAGTAACATACGTATTGGGGATAATATGTATTTTTGCAATGAAGATAAGGAGCCCCAGAAAAATTACATGGTCACCTAATGGAAAGTATAACCAATATTGCTATTTCTAATACATGTTTCCCTAGGAAATTTGAAGTTCTACTCTTTGAGAATGAAATTTTCTATCGAATCAACCATATTTCTGAGTTTCTAAACTTGATGAACATCCCAAGACTTTAGAACCAGAACCATCTAATGAAGACCAGGTTTCTCAATTCACAAAGGTGAGAGAAATTATGGTTATGGAAAATCACAAGCCTGTGAACATTTATTCTTCTAAATTTGCAGAGTTCAAAAATTAAGGCCATGCATAAATATGCAAAACCTAAATTACTATGTTCTATGTATCTTGGTACTTTCAGAATCCAAGAGGCATGATGATTCTGAATAAAGGGAATATCTGAATGGAGACTAGCTCATCAGCTGTTGCTTAATGGTTTAGAGAATTATAGCAGTAAAGCAATTCTGGAATAAATGCATCTTCACTGTAAACTATGCACTGTTCTACTGTATCTGTTTGCTAAAAATAGACACAGCCTTAATGAAACAACTCCAAACCAAACAAACTGAACTGCTCTCTGTATTCTAGTTGCTACTAATAACAACTGAGTGCAATTCATATCTGTATTAAACAGCCTTGTAACTTGGACCAAGAGTGATTGTTTGAAAGGCCTGGTGATATTAGTAATTCAGCTTTATAGTTAAAAACTATCAGAGTTTTTGTGCCCTGTCCTCTGTGATCTTGTAGCATTTATCCCCCTTCTATTAAAATTGTCCAGACTATTATCCCCTTGAAGGCATGGGCCAAGTTTTACTTGTCTCTGAATCTTTTAATACACCAAATGCCTGGTTCTCAATAATTTATTGGTCAATGGCTAAATAAAAGGATATGAGTAGAAATCCTTACTCTTCCAATGACAAATATCGCATGCCTCTTAGCCATGGATAATTCTGAGCTCATTATATATATATATATCAATTTCGCCAACCCTATAATATGTTTATATAATGTTTAAATGCATACTCTGTCCAATTCGTTGTCCTTGTGTCCTTAAGCAGATGATAAGTATTCAGGCACCTGATTGCTATCCATTTTCTAAAATAAGTATAGAATCTGGAGTCACATTTCAGCAAGTATTATTTCACATCTAGAACCCCATGGCAGGTGTTTGCATTACCAGCAAAACTGCTTTAGAGAGAACACCGGGGATAATTACAGTCCCCTGACTATTTCAGACAGGTGGTCTGACTGTGTTATAGAGGTTTTAAATAGCCTTTGATTTAGTTTTCTCTACAATGTATTTTTATAGAACGCTAGGCTCACATGAGACAAAGCTTTCTGTGTTCCAATGCATTTAAACAATGCTGCATGCTATATTCTTTTCTTTGATACTGACATGTTAAAACACTCTTGAGAAATCACTATTTTACAGAAACTGAGTTAAAGTTGATTAAACCAGCATACCTAAAACTTTTTTTGGTAGCACCTAATAATTTTGCTTAGAACTAGTGCTCTAAAAAAACATACTTTAGAAAATGTTTCTTTAATTGAATCTTAAAAGTTGTAGTAGATCTGTAGCAAGTGAGAGCATATTTTTTTTTACCAACTATGAATTTATCTAAGCAGAGTCGATACTGTTGTGGCTCATGTTCTACCCTTTGGTCATGATTTTCCAAGAGTTATAACATGCTAGTAAAAGGACAGTCCATCATGGATTTGGTTATTTTCTCTTCCAGAGATAGTAATCCCAGACTTTGGGACTGGGCCCGGTAAGTGAGTATGAGTGTCCTTTGGATAAGATGATGCCATCACTGGCATCCATCTGCAGGACAGGACTTTGATCCATCTCTGCTCCACTGTCTACATCTCTAAGGAGATGGTTCTGTGAACTAGATTTAGGAACATGGCCTGAAGCCCTGGAAAACAGTCTTCACTAGCTCACAGGAGGATCGACCCCCTTTTTTAGACCCCTTATGCCAAACAGAGTTCCTAGGCAGTAGAGTTAATGAAAAGCACATTCTGTAATTCTTAGCTAAGCTTCGTCAAATGACTCTGCATTATTCTAAACCTCATCTGTGTTTTGCCCAATAAAACGGAATCAGAACATCTTCAGGCCTCCCATGACATTCAGTGAAATGTGAATATGACCTACGCTGAAGTGCTTATGGCAGAGATTCATATTCATCTTCTGTTTAGAACATCGCTGTGTGCTAGGCAGGGTGGCTCACCCATTTCACACACTGAGAAACTGAGACCAACCTATAATGGGGATACACTCCAGTTCTTCTGACCTGTAACTCAGCACACTTTTCAGTCCACTTCATTAGCTTTGAAATTAAATAAATAAGGTTGAGAGCTTCCTTTTGATCATTCCCATGTAATATAGATAATGTTTTTTTTAATTAATGGACTTGAATAACTACAGTTCTGATTAAGAAATATAATATGCCTATGATTAGCATTTTTATTATCATTTAATTTCCATATGCTTTTTATGTTACTTTATACTAAGAATAGCTGATTTTCTTCTAGAAGGGATACCCTATATGCTTAACTTATTACTTAACTTGCTTTCATGCTGCTATTCTAAAGAGAACCAAGAGAGATTTTATAGTATAAATGAGGCCAACTCAGTTCATTGTGTCTGTTGTATGTGTGTATATTTTAATGAAAAAACAAAAACAAAAACTACTTTCGGATTGCTCTTTTTTTCTTTGTCATGGAAAAGCTAATAGGCAGTGCTTGAGAACGTCATTTGAAAATTAGAAACAGACACTTATTTCAAACAAGTCGATGCTACGGAGTTTTATGCCCTGTAAGACTATTATCTCTGGATAAACTTTTGCAATAAACCTCTTCTGTAGTAGACATATGTTTCCTAGGATAAGCCTCACGAAGTGGCAGCCTTGTAAAATTAGGAACAAGTGCTTACAGGAAATGGTTACGGCTACGTGTGAGACCACCTCTCGGCTTTATGTAATTGGTGACAAGTAACCCTGAAATTTCTTTACAAGTGCGCAGTTTGATTTCCTTAAGAGATAAACTACAGTCGGACTTAATAATCCAGGCTGCACAAAACACACTTAGATCTGGGTGCTTCAGAGGCTGATTTCATTTTTACCAGCTGGCCAATGACACAGGACCCAGGGAAGGACCTACGATATGAAAAAGTCTGCCTCTCTGACTTGATAAATTCCTTTGGATTACTTATTAGAACCATAACAAGAATGGATATGCACCCTGGAAGCTAATTTCTTTTATGGATATTTCTCACAAGCTAGAAAAAAAATCTGCCATAATTCTTTCATGAGCAGAAATTATTTTGCATTTTTTGATGTGATGATGGAAACATGACAATGACATGATATAGATAAAATGAACATGTCCATACAATGTTTCTCTGTAGTACACAGTATAAAGTCTGACATGGTTTGATACATTGTATTTTTTGGTAAACATTTTGATGATTTTTACATATTCTGAAAGTGTCAGATTTTCACGTGTACACAGGAGATCTGGATAGCCATTTTCAAAGCCACAGAATAAATTCCAGACTCCATCACTTGCTCCAAGAAGTCTAGACACTGCATCACCAAGATATTTACACAAAGCGAGGAAAGAGTGGTGAAACTGGAGAGGAATTGTGTTTTTGCCTGTTTAAGTTAGGACAAACTGTTTCTGTTACTGGGGAATCATTGATTATCTCCAAGGAAACAAAGAAAGACAACTTAAAATTTTAGTTTTGGACTTACTTTTTCTTCTCCCACAAAAACAAAACAATTAAAAATGTTTGATGGGTTTCTTATGAGGAAATGTAGTTTGATTACTTGTTGAGTGAAGGAATGGCAAGAAAGTCCACACATGTCAATTTTTGGAATTTCTGAAAGTTCCCACATTTCAATTTTTGGAATTTCCTGAAATATTTGATCAAACTTGCTCATTTGGAAGGATCATTATACTCTTTAGATAGTAAACTGGTGTTTCTAGTCCCTGCTGTAACATTAATAAATCTGCTTAACAATTTTCAGCAAGGAAAGTTGTCCAGGCTCGATCAGCCCACGGGAAGGGTATAGGAAAGTTATAAAATGAACCTCAGAAAGGAAACTGAGCAAAGAAAGCAGCAGTTGTGCTAGGTGATGCTAGCAACGCGCAGTGGAAATTATTTTTAAGATCATGGGGTACAAAGTTTCTTCTAATAAAGGAAGTTTGAGGATATAGGGGACAGCCTGAGTTATGAGTCATCAGCGTTGGGTGAAGGGCCGAGGG